TTCCCTTTTGTTTTTTTACCAATTTTAGCAGTCATTACTCTTTGATGTGAGATTAACTACAGTGCACTTCAACTACCAGAGGAACTTATAAATGGCACTTTCTTCATTTGCATGATATTTAACTTTATTAACTATGTGTAATTTAAAGCAAACAAAAATGCTTGCCTGGGGACAATAATAACAAAAAGGGATATACTCTGTATAAATTCTTAATGGTGTAATTTTGCCTTTTCCGTGGTTTGAACTGCTTAGCTTTCCATCTTATAGGCAGGGTGGACATATGCCAATATACAACCATGTTTGCAGAGTGCAAATGTTTGTACATTTCCCGCTGGAGCTGAGGGGAAGAAACTGCAATACTTAATGGGATTCAGCTGACCCAAACATGAGTTTACTGTTTACTTGGGATGTGGTGTAAATATACCAGTTAAAAGTCTCTGGGCCCAAAAAATGAGCATAAAAAGAGTAACATGATTGGATCACAGGAGCTATGTTAATGCTCAGAGAGTTACACTGAGATGAGGACACGTGCTCTATGCTCTTTGCTTTAAGAAAGGCTTTGATATCAGAGGGAACTTATCAGAATATGGACCTGAGGATTTGTTAATGTTGTTTTTCTCCATTTATTTGTCTCTCAGTCTGTCTGATTTCATTACCCTCTTCTGCCCTCATGGCAGCACATCTCACCACTTCTTGGTCATGGTGTCCATGGTGGAAGTAGCCATTCTGTTCTCTTCTCCTAATCCTCCTGTTAATCATCACCCAAGTTTGCTAGCCTGGCCAAAGTCTTCTGGATTCCAAGGGGGGGATGTGGTATGTATGAGTCTGCTTTTGAGTTGGGCATTGCTGAAAATTAATGTCCACTAAAATCCACACCCTTTGACTTTTGTGCCCTTATGCCATGGAAATCTTTGCTTAGGTGATCACCCTGAAATGTTTGTCACTGCTACTAAACCAAGATAATGTAGCCTTGCTTAGTAGTATGGGTGATGCTGGAGTTTTGCTTCCAGAATGTTAAAGTCTTCAGGGATGAGGGGCCTCTTCCTTTCTTCTTCCTTTGTCCCTTTTCGAGCATTGCTCTTGTCCATGTCTTTCGAGCCCTATTCAGGCACTCTGCATTGAGTTTATATTCTATAACTTCCACAATCATTTATGATTACATAATAAGGCACAACTTGTCAAAGAGAAGCAGGGTCATAGCAGAGCCTGAGGTTTCAGTTCTTTTAAGTCTTCCAGAAAAGAGAGAAACCTAACCCTTTCTGGTCTGCCCACGACATCTGACTAAGCACCTGCACTTTAAGGAGGGCACTGTTACCACAGATTTCTCTTTTTGGCCCCCCACCTCATGCATTCATCATCTTGCTTACCACTGGAATCACGGAAGCCTGTTTTGATCATGGATGCTTTACACCCTGATTTTCATCCATCCCCTGTACTGGTTTTTCTTCTGAAATCCTTGTCCTTCCTTCACCCTTTGTCTCTCCATTCAGCTGCATAATGTTTATGGACCCACAAGACCACCTTTCCTGGCTTCCAAACTATGACTTTGCCATCAGCCAGCCCCACTGGGCCATTGAACCAATCCAACTACTTGGATAAACATCTGGAGCAGAGATCCATAAACATATGGATAAACATCTGGAACAGAGTTCCATCAGTGGCTATTAGCCACAAGGTATAGATAGAAACTCTTGGTCTGGGGCAAGGGATGCTCTGTATTCTTGGTGCTTGGGGAGGGCAACAGCGGGAGGGCTTCTAGTGTCCTGGCCCCGCTGCTGGACCTCCTGAGGGCACCTGGTATTTTTGGCCACTGTGTGACAGAGTGTTGGACTGGATGGGCCATGGGCCTGATCCAACATTGGCTTCTCTTATGTTCTTACTTACCTGGTCTTCAGCTGCAGCCTGTTCAAGGTGGGAGCTGAGAACTTTATATACAAGACTTTCTGATGAAGCAATTTGCTAAACTCGTAGGGATCTAGAAGATCTAATAAACTCTCCATTTCCATTTCATTTATTAGCTTCATTGATCCGAGGTCTTAAGCCAAACATACATACAAACAATAAAACTCTCAACCTTGCACCTTGTTCCTTTTCTCTCTCTCCGTAAGTTAAGACCATGTGGTACCTTCTGATGTGGACAAGTTGCACATTACAAGCAAATGCATGTTACAAAGCCCTAACATTTTATTTTTAATGTTAAAGCATTTTCAGGAAGCTACAGGTTAGTGGCAGAAGAAAAGGGAGAAGCCTTTCTACTCAGAATTTCCCAAATTAATTTTTGTCACCATGAGATTCATGCCTATCCACAAAGATTAATCCTCTTCAAAACCTGCAGAGGGAAAAACAGAAGGGAACTGAGCAGAAAACTGGCTGGAAAGAGTTTCTCCCACCCCTCCTTCAGTCAAAATTCTACTTTCTTGAGGCTGCTTTTCTTCAAAGCTTTGAAGCACACATGTTCAAATAGGGGGGTCAGACTCTCACGACTGTTGTCTTTATACTTGTTTACTGATCGGGTCGTGTTTGTCCAGATTTCAGGATGTATCATATATGAATACCCTTGGAGTTTTAACTTCAAAATATAATTAGGTTTTGCAGAAGCAACCCTAATGTATAGGGGCATATGTGTTCACAAGATCACATCATCTAAGGCAACTTGTAGAAAGGGAGCTCCAGAATAACTCTGTTGCATTGGACCATCATTGTTGTATACTCTTGAATCATAAGCAGAAAAAGTTTG